GAGGGGGGGGGTTTTAGCCCCCCAAACCAAAGGGGACCCTTCGGGGGGCCCCCCGAAAACCCTCCCTTAAGGGTTTTTCCAACCCATTGGTTTTTTTTTTAACGACGTGATTGAAAAACTTGACTAGCCGGCCGGACGGACGAGACAGGACAGGATTGGCGAGGGAAGGGTCAGCTTTTAGGTAAGCTCACAGCATCTTCAAAATGATTTTTTAGATCAATGGCGCATTCCAGCCGTATCCGTGGAGCCGTGCTGGTCTAATTTGCTCCTTAGGAGAGTGCGGTACGAAATCTTTTTATTACCCTGTTCTCAACTTTCAGGAGCATGGTAACTTCTTTCTCTGATCACTCACACAAAACTATTGAAAAGCTAATAAAAAATATTAAAGGGATACCGACGGCATAGTCAATCGGTTACGCGCTGGAAAAAATGTCTCTGCGCTTCTCCGGTGGCGCTATCTCCCTGGGTTGGCTACTTGCCAATTTCGTTGATGAGGGGGGATCGACACATGCCGTCGGCAGCCCTTTAATATCATTAAAAAAATAGAATAGACACTGCAAATCATTTATTAAACTCTTTTATTCACCAGCATCAATGGTAATAAAACACTTAATCAGGTGCAGAGCAAGAAAATCAAACAGAACCCAAAATAATGCAAATAAAACCCGAGCAATTAAATTTTGGTGATAGGCAACTCATGGGCGGGATCTAGAGACTAGTAATCAAGCGCTAGAGACGGGAAATGTTCAATTGGCCTTGAGCTGGTTCGACAGCCATTCAAGGCCTTCATACAAACCATCGCCAAAAGTGACGCAAGTCGACTGGACGTACCAACGACGGTTGCTCATTGTGTGCAGCCCCAGCTTATTCGTCACTTCATAGGCGCTCATGGCGTTGGGCAAATCTTGTTTGTTGGAGTAGATGAGCAGGGGAGCGTCATGGAGCTCATCCTCGGCCAACATCTTCATCAGCTCCTCCCGTGCTTCTCCGATTCGCTCGCGATCATTCGAGTCGACGACAAATATGACGCCTTTGGTGTTCTAAAAATCAAATGAAAGATGGGCGCAAAAAATCACCTCGAAATAATCCCGCCAAAGTGGGCGTATTTTGCCTTGGCCAGCGAGGTCCCATACCGTGAAGCAAATGTTGCGGTACTCGACTGTCTCGACGTTGAAGCCAATGGTTGGGGTTGTGGTGACGAGCCCTCCGAGTTTAAGCTTGTACAGTATCGTAGTCTTTCCAGCCGCGTCCAATCCGACCATCAGAATCCGCATGTCCTTCTTGCCGAAGAAATTCTGGAATAGCGAGGCGAAGACGTTGCCCATGGATGCGCTGTAAGAAGAAAATTTGAACAGAAAATGAAGAATTGAAAGGAGAAACCTGGAATTCGAAAGAATCTGATAATTATGATGTTTCTAAAGTAAAACTGAAACAAAACGTCAAAAAATTGTTTTGTTGAAATTTCAGAAATTCCAAACATGGCATCTCTTTGCGATTTTTGTGTAATGGTGTACAGTAGCGTGCAAAAAGAAGGCAACACCCAGGAAGCACTTGTAACTCGGATGCCTCTTCATATTTTGCGCCAAACGGAAAGTTTCCCAGTGTTTTCGATGCTGTAAAATTCGATGAACGTGTCACAAGCAGCGAAAATGACGTTTAGTAGCTTAAATATCGAATTTAAAATAGCTCCAAAAATCTACTTTTCTAAAGGCATTTTTCCGTTTCAAAAACATCACCATCGTGTTCAGCATAGTCGATTCACCCAAGGCCAGTCTTTATGGTTTCTTAAAAGCTGCTCAGACGGTGAGGAAACTAGGATTAATAGTCGTTCGACTCGGTCTTATGGGGGCGCCTGCAATGCCTTTCCCACAGGCGAGCCCACTTCTTGGCCCGCTTGGCGATAGGGAAACGTGGCTTCCCGGCTGAGCCAAGCCGAAACTCATCCCAAACGATACTGACGTTGGGTAAATCGACTATGCTGAACACGATGGTGCTGTTTTTCAACGCAGAAAAACCGACGATTTTTTGGAGTGATTCAAAATTCTAGATTTTGAGCTACTAAGTGCTATTTTCGCCGCTCGGGACCCTGCTCATCGGATTCTACGGCATCGAAAATTCTAGAAAACATTCCGTTTGGCCCAAAATATAACGAGGAAGCCGCGCTACAACGGCTTTCTGGGGGTTGCCTGCTTCTTGCACGCTACTGTATCTTGTACAACATGCCACGGAATCTCGTGACAGGGCCGGCCGGAAGGGGCGGGTTGGGGGGGGGCCATTCGAAAGAGTTGTTTTCTGGCGTCCCGGGTCCGGGTTTTTGCCTTCCCCGTGGTGTGTGGAATCCCGGCCTACCACTGAATGGTCGGGGTTCGGATCCTGGCGTAAACTTTGGTGGTTCATCAACGGCATCATTCTAGGCCCTCGGTTAGGCCCCGCTCTGCTCTAGCGCCGCAGGCTCAGAAAGGGTCTTGGTCCGGGCCTCGCGCCGCAGCCAAATACCCATTCGCAACCCAGTCCCCGGAGCCGCATGCCAGATAAACATGGGTCCTTTAATTAGGTTCTTGCCGTGGGGAAAAGAAAGGTGTTCGAATTCATGGTTCCTGGACGGTGTCCAGTGGAAAAGGCGGGGGCTTTTCCACTGGTTTTAAGATCTCCTAGTACACCATTAAACGTTCGTATTTTTTCAGGACTACAAAAACACCTAAAATAGATAATATATATATGGCGAATTAACAATATAGAGCTAAAACACAAGGTAACGATCTGGAGAAGGTAAGGCCAAGGTATCTTTTTTCGATGAAAATACAGTTTTTAGCGGGTTTTTCTGCGATTTCTCGACGAAATTGGAATCAGCATAGCCGAATTAGTCAGATTTGACAGATTTTGCAAGCTAAACCGGTTATGCATCGATTCTTGCAACTTTTTGCCTTTCGTCACCTTACCAGTGAAACGAGTGCCACCTCCGCGTATGTCCCCCCTTGCAGAAACAACTAGCTTCCGATTATCAGGAAGGGGTGAAGTATCCAAAATCTATCCATCTATCCAAAAAGCAAAAAGTCTTGCGCCGGCCGGGAATCGAACCCGGGTCACACGCGTGGGAGGCGCGAATTCTACCACTGAACCACCGGCGCTTGCGGATCTGGAGAAGGGAGAGGTGTAAGAAGGGAAGAGGGCCGCAGGAGATGGTGGCCGTCGCGGTAGAGACTTACCGGGGTAGTGACTTTCTAGGGTAATGAGTTTATTTGGTGCAACTTATATACAAATCCGGAATTCGGATAGCCAATATTTAAACAAAAATCAAAAAAATTTCCAAGAAGGTGTAAAAATGCATGTATTGCGGTTTTTGCTAAAGAACCTTTGCAGCGGAAAAACATCGAAAATTCGGCTCGTTTCGCAAAATCTTAACCGTTCTTAAGAAATTTAAGACTTTGGAAAATCGGAGATATTCACTTTTCAAAAGCTTGCGATGGATACGTAAATCGTGAAAGTCGGACCCTTCTCTTTGCCGTTGGCGGCAGACGGGGTGCTGGCCACCCTTCAGCTATGGTGTATGAAGCTTGCTCTACGACTTTACTATTGATTCGCTACTGGAGGCCGTCAGAGCCTGTTAAGCGGATCGTGATACCCGCCGATTGCGGTAAAAAAACAATAATTTGCGCTGCCGGGGAGTGAACTCGCGACACCATTAATGCTTTACTCCGCCCAAAAGATGGCCTTATCAACCCTGCGCGCCTCTCAGGCCCTCACGAGTGGACTGAAATTTTGTTAAGGGCAGCTTGGCGCGCAAAATCTGCAAAAACCAGGAATCCATTTACTGTAAGGTGTTTTTGCTTAACTTTAAAATTCGTTTCGGGACCAGGTACATCTGGTGCAGTATTTTTCGCTGATTCCGAATACGATTTCCCAAATCGCAGCGGAAGAACGAATAATCCCTTTAGACCTTCTAAGACCCAAAACGTAGCCTTTACATTGAAAGCTACCTTAATTATACGTTTTTACATAAACTACATTCCTGCATCTGCTTCTGATGTCCCGAGCAATTTTTTGGCAAGGGGCATTGTGGCAAAAAGGGACTAGGGTGCAGCTGAATGGGGTGGCTGTGGTTGTGGTATTTGACGTTCGTGGACCCATTGTTGTCTTTCTCAAATCGCTCTCCAGAAGTAGAAATGGCAATAGCCGGTGGCTGTCTTGTCTAGTTTCTCCAAGCAGAGCTACACCTAAAAACAATATTCCATAAGAGAATATGGTGTCAGCCGCACAGATTATTGTACGGCACCCATTATACCACGTGCATCGCTTGCCATTCACTGCCTTGATTTTAATACTGTAAGTTAAGTACGGTGGTATAAAATTCCATTTTGTTAGATATTCGCTGCTATCGCTGGTTTTATACATCTTGATCTCGATTGTTTTGATCCGATTTCAAAGAAGTTGCGGATTTACACAAAGACCATTTATGGTGCTTATCATGGCCAAGGTATTGTTTAAATAATTAGATTCTAAAAGTCTATATAGATTCCTGGTGATATGATTTTAACAGTTTTGGCGATACTACAAATATATGTCGAAACGGTGTACTATCATCATATACAATTACCCCAATATCGGCCAAGGTATGGAAAAGCGTAGAACCAGCTGTAATGATCCTTACTAGCTTTAAAATCTTTACATGTCTGGTGGAAGTGGCAGAGCATCTAACGCTTCTTCAGACACTTTCGCTAATATTTTGTGCATTCACGGCATTTACACATGAACACTTGGTTCAGGTAATTGGATGCTCATCTTAAAACCTATAAATATTATAACAGATCTGGTCCACAAACACCATCGTGCTGCTTACAATTATCCAAACTGCTGTTGCGTTCTTCCTAAATGTCCCCAGGCTTATTAAATTTTGCTATTATTCGACTCCGGACGTATTTATTGTACAACTCACGAAAATTGAGGATAGTCAAACCAAGGTTAATTACTGTCCGGGTATTTATATACGATCTACCTAGGATATGCTTGAATCTGCCGGCTTCTTGGCATTGTGTGGATTTGTCTCAATGATGACACTCTATTCAAAGGAAAAGAATCGAGAAATTCTGATATTTGATGATGATCAGGTACTTTGAAATACTAGGCTTGCAAGTTTTTTTGAAGCGTCACAACGTCAAGGATTTCCGGGTGTTGATTGTCCTCGTCGTCTGCTATATTATGCACGTGGCTCGGCAATTCATTTCCGATTCTACCCGTGATACCATCATTTCGATTCACACGTTCAGCGCGTTTTTGCGGTTTGCAATGTAGTTTCTGACCTAATGAAACAAATTCAGAAGTTACACGCTACTTATATTCACTACCGTAACCCCCTGGGCACTCACTATATTCCATCGAACAATCCGGCAACGCCTGTTTGATTTGAAATGCTCGAAAAAGGTTTGTTTAATGGCCCTAGAACACTTTGAAATAAGTTTGTATTTTTAGGATTATGTTATACGAACCTTAATAATACCAGAAATTTTTCTTGAATCGGCGGATGAAGATGAACCATTTTCAATAACAAACAGCCGGTAAAACCGTAAATTTATGGACATTATCACATTTCAGGTCGGAATCCCCGGTGGCTTTGTGAGAATCGACGCACCGGCATTTTAGCGAAGCAAATTTGTTGACGAAAATACAAAAAGCTAATGGCAAATTCAAGTAAAAATAATAAAGCGCCCATTGAGATTTTCACGGAGCGTATGAATCGAGAAGTATATGGTCATTCGAGCATTCCCATGTCAAGAAAAAGCCAGCTCTGAAAAAAGTCGCATTAGAAGATAAATTTGCTAAAAAATTTACCCATCGTTGGATAGATTGTCATCAGAAAGAAAAACGACTGTGGCTTTATTTCTGGCGGCCGGTTCGACCTCGAAAGAGAACGGGAATTCCAACTGCAATTTAAGTTAAGAAGGAAAATTAGTGTTGTTTTTACCGTTCCGTTCAAACAACTGCTCATTTTTATATCATCGTGATTTGTTAATATTCGCAGATATTCGTCTAAAATCAAGGAGTTTAGCTATACGTTGACGAATTTCTGATCGTTACCTTTACATTCGTTTTCTGGACTAACGATATCGATACCCATCCGATCCACGGTGAATGTGCAGGTTTTATAAGCAGGCAAATAGAGATTCCAACTAAAGAAACATATATTTAAATAATAACTGAAGTTCAGTACTTACCTTTGCACCCCTTGTTTCGGGTATCCGTTTGGATATCCAATATTCGTAATTGCTCCTTGTGGATCGGAGATTTCCGAAAATTGGTAGGCGGTTCCTAAAATATTGTTGTTTTTTTAATACAAGCGTATCCCTACCAATTCCGGCCTGAGTGTGGATCCAAACGGAATAATAATAGGCCTCGTATCCAGACATGGTTCCCGTGTCATCAGTTAACAATTGAATCTGAATTCAAATACTAATATATAAAGTAGCAGATAATCAACTATAATTTAATAAAAGTTAAATACCGATATGATACTGGCATTGGAGAGGTAGCTTGGAGGCAACATCGAACCGCACATCGCACCAGTACCTTCCGGCCGATCTGGCTCGATAATCGAAAAACAAGCAATTTAATGGGTTACAAAAATTCATGCAGATGACTGAAAAGTATTAAAGTTACCGTAACGTTGTCGAATTCGCAGTTGTAGCGCCTAAATGAATCGGTAATTCGTAAAAATTGATTCGGCAACAAACCTCGTGCCGTCCCGATATCGCCTTTGTGTCATTTCTTCCACCGGACGCCCTGTTTCCAGGTTGAAGTGCCTGAAAAAGAGCAATGGACAGAAATTTTTAAAGGAAAAATTATGCTGTGTGTACGGGTGAAATTAGTGAATCGATAAATTAGTATAATACGGTAGTATTATAGATGTTATACATTAGGTTCAGGGGGGAGGGTAAAATACCTATTTGGCTCGTTCTACGATGATTGGACCTTTAATAACCCCCCGAAAAAAAAAAAAAATAAAACCAAAAAAAAAATTAAGGGGGAGAAAGGGTAAGTTTTTATATTTTTATTTTGAGATCGAATGAGATAGATAGAGGAAACAGGGAAAGAGGCGAGTGAAAGAGAGAGAGAGAGCGGAGAGAGAGAGAGAGAGAGAGAGAGGGAGAAAGAACGAATTATAGAAGTATTTTCCTTACTTAAACACGACGAAAAGTCTGCGGTCGTCGAGTGTTTGTATATTCGTTATGCATGTCATGTTCGGATCGTAAACGTTTGGATAGTTAGGACTGATGATTCGGCCAGATTGGAATTGTCGGGCATCAATCGATCGATTGCAATCTGCAAAATGCGATTTTGAGAAAAAACTTAATCCGGGAATAAATGCAGCAGTAATCGTTAGCCAATATGTCAACTTACTTGGCAATAAGACATATTCAAATCTGAAGTCAAAATCATCACTTTTTGCCAACGCAACCGAGGCAGTAATCTAGAAATTTAATTGTTTTTGATCTATTATAGCTTCTGAAAATACCTGAACCGCGGTCGAAAGCCCAATAAATTGTGTACGTGGCCGGTTGGTCCCGCAATAATGCTGCGACTATATTTATGAATGTTAGCATCTTTAAAAGTGCCATACCTGCAATTCTTCGTCTTTGGAAGCACATGCCGGATGACTACATTTCGACACAGTACCAATATCGCGTATATCCACAAAGTTCGTATCGCAAGCACCTCTCGGGAATTGGAAATTCCTGAAACCAAATGGTGTCTAAATGTTGATTGAAGCCTACGAGAATTTAATGAGCACTGGGAACGCTTCCGTCGCCGTGATTAACCAACGGCATCTAAATTAACGTTTCAAAAGTTTAAATTGTCAGACCGCAACATCGTTCTCCCTTCGCGTTGCACAAACACCTGATCGTCAAATTCGATTGATTGTTCGGTTGTTGTTGCATTCAGGAAGCCACCGCATTCGACTAGATTTTCTGGATAAGATTTCAAGCCAGTGGTTACCATCAAATGTTCGATATTCAAGGGTAAATCCACGTCCTGTGCCTCCAAAGTCGCTAACAAACACAACATACGCTGCGTGGCCGGAAGTATGATAGTAGATGGGGAGAGTACTGAAAAAGCATCAAAAATTCAGCCTTGCTTACGTTTTTTTCAAGGTAGCATTGCAAATATCCCCGGCAAGGGCCGGACTGCTATTAGGATATCCATCATAGATCTAAATAATTTTTAAATTAGAATTACAATTTAAAAGAACCATCAATCCATCGTTACACCGCCGATCTTGATCTGCCACTTGTCCAACCTGGTCCTCGGTGTCAATAGCAACAAGTCGAAGTTCTATTCTTTTAGTGGGGTCAGTCTGAAAAAAATAGGTAAATGTACAGAAAAGTATGTTAATTACTTTAATCAACCATCCACATTGCAGATCAGCTACATAGGTGCCATTTTTATCCACTGGAGCCTCGATTCTTTGCCAATCTGCTCGAGCTTTCCTCGTACCACCGCATCCTTCAGATGGACCTAAATTTTTTCATCATTAGTGCATTGATATCTTGGATAGATATTGACCACATTACCCTTAAGCCCAAAATACAACTTACCAAGGGTTGCTGTGATCGTCATCTTAAATCCGCCGTGATTCACATTATGGTCGGTGACAAAGTGAACCGATAACTTATTCCCCTCAGTTCGGATAGTTTTTGTTGGTGTACTAGATAAATAATTTTCTATTCAAGGTATATTGTTAACATACATTAATCCGCAGAATCTTCCGCTTGACTTGGTTTTTGTAGTGTTACTACCGTCAACCAATTCGACAAAGTCATGCTCACACCCTGGCGCTGGTTCCAGGTCCAATTTGTCCCATCTGAAAGGTTTTACGTCTGTGTTAAAACGAGTAAACATTTTCAAGAAGTACGATGGGAAACCAACTTCACATGCAAAATTCTGTTCTCCGAGGTAGTGATGTTCCACCAGCAATTCAGATTCTCATGGTGTACCATCGGGAATGCCGGGGAAGTCACCTAAAAACTTAGCATGACGAAACAATTATCAATTAATAATAATTTTCTTTAATTTACCTGTGTCCAATGTGGTCTATTATCAGCAGTTGTCAAATCGATTTCTTCACCGCATGCTGCAAAACAACATTAATAATTACTAAACCATGACCGTACCATTCAGAGCATAGGAAATCTTGAAGCCACGGCGCAACTTTTTCTCTACAGGCCCCAAGAAAGTGTGATTGGAGCGGAAGACGACCGAGACAGCACCCTAAAATTACGTGAATAAAAACAGGCTTAAATCTTGATTAAAGATTAGAAAATTACCTTGATAGCCAATGGCTCGAATTCTTCACCGCTTTGAGATGCACAGTAGGTTTTCACTACCCGGGTCACATCGCTAATTTCGACGTAATCAGTCACGCACGGGCTTCGTTTCATGTCGTCTATATTTTAGAAAGCCGATGTAAAGAGAAAAGAGCTTACACATAAAGGGGCTCAAGTCGAGATCGAGAACTTTCAATACAATCACTTTCTCCCCAGGCGTTTCTGGATTTATGGCGTATCTGCATTCATCCTAAAAATAATTATAGGTAAATAATACATAAAAACATTTTCTTGGAATTAAAGGGAGTATTAAACCTTACGTCAGTATTTGGGTAGTAGTCAGGGTAATGTGGAGATGTGATGACACCATGATCGAGGGTGTAGGTCGATCCACATTCTAAAACGTGCGATTTGTCTTGGTTACTGTATCTCGACCCACTTGCAGTCCATTTTAATTTGAATCCCTTGGCGGTGATCTTCTCATCGGTGGTAAAGTTGAGGCTGAAAATATTGATTTTAATTTAGCTGTTATTTATATTTTTCTAGATTCGAGGGTTTCAATTTAATTTAATTTGACATTTTACACCTTGTGGTTATTTTTTGTCCATTTGGTGTTTTTCCAAAGGACTTTGTGTTTTACGATTTTAATTTCATTGAATCTCACAAGTTTGCGCCTTATTTTTTCACTTCCTAGCCCTTCCAATAAAATTTTAGTTCCTAAATGCGTTGTATTTTAAGCTTCCAAATTCACGTAGTACAGTAGTATTTTCCCTGCTATTTTCATTCTTTGCACCCTTCCAATAAAACCCTTGTCATTTCCCTCCCATCCAGCTTATCATCACCGCTTTCCCACCGCTTACCATCACAATTGCTAGCTTTTTCCCCCCAGCCTCAGGTTGACACGCGCTACCACACGAATTTTTCGGTCCGTCACAGATATCGAGCAAAATCATGTCCTCTTCCCTCTGCCAGAAACCAGCCGAACAGTCCAATGCTCCACACAAAGTGCGAGCATATTTGAGCGAGAGTCTATCCATCTTTCAGAGAGTCTAGAGACACCATAGAGGAGAAGCACCCGCTTCGAAGATGCGCCAGAGAAAACGGCCACGTGCATTCCATGTGGAAGAAAACAGCAACCAACCGATGGGGGGCTGAAGGGAACGGCTGAAATGGGCATGTGACCCCCCTCGATGAGCGGGGGGCTCAGCTCTTCCCCCCTCCCAAAAAACTGCCAGCTATAAATCAGGTTCAGCAGGGCAGGGTTCAATTTGTGTTACAGCCGGTGTGTGAGATGACCAGCTGTAGTTTTGGCTTAAAATAATCTGGATTTCTGCTTTGGTGTAGGGTTGGAAGTTGTTTTGGCGCGTTTTCCTGGCTTCATAGTTTGCTGTGAGGGTTTTGTGTTATATTTTGACTTTAAAGGATGCTTATTTGGTCTGTAAAAGGGGAAAAAACTAGGCGGACGGATCCATAAAAAATTTAAAACATAGGAAGTTTATCGTTTCCGGCCTGATTTGAGGGAGTTTCTTCCAAATTTCTGCCTTTTTATCGAATGGATAAACTAGTCTATTAATGTCTAGTACGATATAATAATAGTTTATTAATATTAATATAACAATAGTCTTTTAATGCATACATATTCGTGCCTATTTTTTCTCGGTTCACTTTGCTTTCTAATCCCATTACAAAATGTAACGAAAGACCGCCGACCTGTCAACGCCATCTCAACCGAATTCGTGCCACCACAAAGTTTATGATCACTCATCCCCCGTAAATTTATCCCTCCCCCTTTTTTCTGCAATTTCCCCTGCAGTTTTTATGCCCGCGACGTACCCCGGAAAACACATAAATACCCCCCTTTAGCCCCCCATTTTAATGCACAATGTCGACAATCCGGTCGCCTATAAAATGGACGGCAATCCGTTACCGTTTATTTCTCTCTCCTATCATTCCCCAACATTGATTTGGGCGATTGCCAAATCGTTTTTTATTGTGCGCGCTGCAAAAAGCTGGGGGTCAACACATGGCTGGGTGAGGGTGGAAGGGCTATTTCTGTCGATTGGAGGAGAGAGAGAGAGAGAAACCCACCACCACCATCCAACCACCCAGCAATGCACCAAAACAACCCCCTCCTGGAGCTGGTGAGAGAGAGTGAGTATGGGAAATGTGGAGAGGGTCGAGATAGATACATACAGATGCCCCTTCCCGAATGTTCCACCCCCACATATCGCCTCTAGCCCTTCTCCATTCGTCCGACAAATAGTTTTTATTGCAAATTTGAGTGATAAGAGATGGGATTCGAATGGTTTCGAAAGACGGCTTTGAGGTGGTATATCTTAATTTGTTTTCGGAATTTCTAAGACTAATTTTGTGATTATTGGCAATTTTTTAGAAATCACTGAACTGATTTGAAACTTATCGGCATGGTGTTCGCAAAATTTATCGCTTAAGAACGTTAGAAGGCCAAAAAAGTGTTTTCAGAAAAAATGACTTGGTAGTACTGCAACTTTCAAAAATAGCCTATTTTTATGCCTCTAGCGACCGTCCCAACCCCAAAATAACACTTCAAATTCCACCGCGACCTTGTCTGAAAGCTCGTACTTTGATCCCGGAGACCACCAGCCGCGTCCCAATGCATTTTTCCCGAGAAAATGGCTCCAGTTATCAATCCAAAAACGACACTCCCAGCCACGTGTCTGTTTTTCAAAGATGGCTCAATGATCCACGGGAATCCCTATAGGGTGCCCCTTTCCTACGGAATCGAGTGATCAGTAGGTGTGTGATAAGGGTGTGAGGTTTTGGGTGAGGTCATTTTGCTTCTAGAAAATTCGACTTCTGTTTTTGCGCTTCCGGTCGGGGGTAAAGGGAATGTTTTCGAAAACGGCAAGCCACTATCGCTCAACAAATATAGATTATGATGTCTTTACGGATTAAAAACCTTAAGCTTTTTTCTATTTACCAAAATACAAATTATGAAGAAATCCTTGTATTTTACGATTTTCGTGAGCCAGTCTGAAGTATCTATTTTTGCACTCCCGGGCCTGATGGAGTTCTATCCTTGCCTTTACCACAATATAGTTTTCGAAAGCCTACTCGTGTTTCAGTATTTCTTTAGACAAGGAAAAGTAAGGGCTATGGGACTTTTGTTGCCCTGTTCCGAGGCACACCTCCCAACGGCCACAACAAGCCCGCTCAGCTGGTCGGTCCCTCCTCCTCCTCAGAAACGGAAACGCCTCCATTTAATTCCGATGGCTATTCCATTTGGCTGTTTACGCGCTCAGGCAAATGGGATGGTTATTTTTTCAATCATCTATAGATCTTCTATGATTTTTTGGCACTATACTTATGAATTCTTTAAAGAAACATAATCGAAAAAAATTTTAGCTTTCGTAATAATCAGGCCAACTTTATTAGTCCTTAGTTTATTATTTCTACTATTTTTACGATTTTCTAGCGTTAATTTTGCTTCATTAAACTATCGTCATGATCTCTTTTCTAAAACACCTCCCAGTGACACCCCGGAGCCGGTTATTATCACTTTTAAAGATGCGTGGTAATGGAAGACACGTGATGGGAATGGCTATAAAAAGCGATGGAACCGGCCCATTTGGGCGGGCGGCCGATTTTTAGAGAGTGGCACACGGGCACGGCTATTGTCATAGCATTTTCTGGCCGGGGGTTGACGGGATACGAGCGGCTAATTTTGGACATTGGGTATAATGGGATCGGGATTTTTCTGGTTGTTTTCAATCGATAGATAACTGGATCTATTGTTTGAAACCTTTAAAGTACGGGTCTCATTAGAAATCAAATCTACCCAAAAAGCTTACGCGTTAATGGAAGAGATGCTGTTACGAAATCAATCCATGTCTATTAATGCACCTTCTAACCTTAGCGTTTGGAAAGGCCACAATGTATAAACAGATATCCCGTGAACCTTTATATGGCACGTAATTCACTCTTATATAAGAATATGCTACCTCATTACAGCTGACCACGTTTTCAACCCCTTACCAACCCATCTGTTCCAAACATATTTCACCAGGCTCCTCTAGCCTGCTACTACTATCAGCACAGTTCTTTTTTGTCCGACTTCTTACGGACCATGCCCGGAACACTGACGCCTCACTTTATCTCGGCTTTCATTGCTTTTGCAGAAGACAGAAAGAGAGAGCTACAGCACTACCCCTCCTTTTCCTCGATCGCACTATACGAATTTGGCTCCGATTACCCAAGCTTCGTTGGGTACTTAAACCCATGCTTTTTCTTCGTATCTCTACACTTCGTACTTTCACGAATTCAAATTCAAATTGCAGAACATGAAGCTCGCTTTGCAATGTGCCACCGGTGCCCGCAGTTACGGTAGATGGTAAGATTTTACAATGGTTTTTGAGGACCTATTGCTTGCTCTGGAGTTTTTCAAAAACCCATCTTTGATTTCAGGTTCAGCCCGGAAATCCGAGCCGCCGTCGTTCGCCAGAAGTCGTTCAGGGATGGCACCCCATCCAACCAGCCCCAGAAGAAGGCCCTCGAAATGGCCAAGTCTAAGGCCAGCGTCGAGAATACGGTACGTTTTTATACAAATACCGCAGAATCCCTATTAAACACTTATTTTTTGCTATTCTGATCCATAAACAGTCTATTTGTAATTAGAAATTACAGCCAATGCCCCAGCCGACCATGCCGAACCCGCTGTGCCCAGCCCCGGTCTGCTAGAGAATTCACATCTCGACGCTGCCCAACGACTAATTGTACATTTCTGTACAGTTTACCACTACCCCAACGCTATTTATATAGATACGACTGCAGTAACTAATTAACTTTATATCCCCCACTCTCCAGATATCTATTTTTCTGATGTTCCTCTTGCTCTGAGCGCCAAGTCTTAATTTGATCTTGTCTGCCTCTCTCTCTCTCTCTCTCTCTCTCTCTCTCTCTCTCTCTCTCTCTCCCTCACCCGGGTCCCCGCTCAGGCTTTCAAGCAAAGATACACTTTTGCAAACCGCTATTATCCTGGGTCTTTTTGTGCTTTTTGGAATTTCCGGAGTAAAACGTGTAAATAAACGGATTTTTGTCTGATAAGAAACCACATACCGTATCCTGTTGCTTTCAGATTCATAAGGCTTTGGAATATCGATGCCACACATTGCTTTGCCCGCTTCTTCATTGTTGAACAGGAAGTAGTAGTCGCCTTGAGGGGCCCATTCTTGGCCTTGGTGTTCTTCGTAGACCTGGAAAGTGATTTCGGATGCATGGATCAGGAGCTTAATCCTGGGTATTTAAAATTCTATAAAATGGAGATTTTGTGGTTCTAACAAGGAGCCGTTTTTGGTGAGCACGAAGACTAACATGTGCAGAATTTTTTGCTGATTACAACGAAATAAATAGTTATGAAATGTTCAATTGCAAAGCCAAAAATGGCCTACCTTGGATCTCTGTGAAAATTTTTAGAGAATGTTTTGAGTACGCCAATTAGTAAATTTTGCTTTGGTAAGCCACGCTTTTTTGAATGTGCTGTGTCTCACAAAAATCTTAAATGCGCCCAAATTGCTCAAAGGCATGTCGTCAAAATCCACCTTTTCAGCAAATTTTTGGATTTGTCGTGCTAATTAGTTTTTATAAAACATTTTTTTGCGAATTTTTTTAGGGGGTCCGACTTAGCCCATTACTCGCTTTTTGGCGTATTTCAAAGCGTCATATTGTTTTATTCTGGCCGTTTTGCAGTTTCTACAAACTGCCTTTTGATCAGCAAAAAAATTCTGCACAAGATAGGCCTGGTTCCGCCCCAAAACTCCGGGCCCTCCAAAAAAACGTCTCCTTGTAAGCATTTTGTCAGTTATTCGGTGAATTCCCCGAAAAATATCTCTTAGTAATCAATTTCTAACCGCACAGTTCCTTGCGGATTAGAGAACCTCCGACACTGGCATTGGCAACTGCTAGCTGCAAGATTGAGATAACCGTGTTTTGCACCAAATCATGGGACCCCTTCACTCCCTCGATGCCTTACTGCCACGATTGTTGACCAAAGACGCTGAAGAACACGGGACTTCCCCTGCCCTCACCCACCCCCTAACGCTCTAAATAAATAAAACAGCGAACACTAACCCGAATTTTAGGGTTGGGTATCCACAGCTAGCACTTATCCTCCCAGAAAAAGGTTTCTTGGGATTTGGGGTGTAGAGCGCTTGGAAACAAAGAGGGGCTGAGATTTTCTATTGTTTGAGGGTTTCCGCTGGAGAATTTTTGAGAGCAATTTGCGGTTATGAGGGTTTTTGGAATGTAAATTTTAAATATATCGATTGTTTTTACATCCGCACACTTAAACGTCAGAATCAAAAATAGAGGGGGTTTTCTTTAATTTACACCGAAACTGGCCGTATTCAAATAATCCACCGTAAAGGCTGGGGTTTTATTGCGCTTTAGGTTTCTATGCAAACCCCCGAACTTTTCATGCAATTCACGTTCGAGGAACTATGCACATTTTAATGTTTCGCGAGCAAAAATTTTACTGTTTGGCCATGAATCGGAAGCTGAACCAAATCTTATGACTTGAGAATATATTTAATTTGCATAAAACCAGTTCTGATCCTTCTCTCGATTCTCCCTTTTTACCACGGAAAACCATACCTGAAGAAAGTCGGCCTGACATTCCTGACTCGACTGCACATCAAACGTCTCGAAATCCAACTGTATATGGTATCCCTGCGGAACACTGATATCCCAAATACAGCCCAAGTCATTGTCTAAATAACACTCTTCCACCTATCCCATACCATACTATACTTACCATAGGTGTCGGGGTAATTCGGTGTGTAAATTACACCATGCATCGCGTTTGAGATGAAGCCGCATTCTAAAATTTGATTGCAACCTTCGAAGCTATTTTTTTAAGTTCTGTAGGCTTGTTTACGACTTCCGTTTCCCCATACCCCAATAGCGGTGAATGTATCGCGAGTCAAAAAAATTGCGGACTTCAAACAAACACACGGCTCCCTTTTCAGAGCCCCGTCGGGAATTTGCTTGTTGAATGACAGGGCATTTTTGAGAGTTTTCACTTCTTCACCCGGGTGCCTACATACAACAGTTGTGCTGAATGTTTGTGTACAGAGCCCTCCTAGGGGCGAGTGTTGGAATTCGAATGGCAAATGTTCAAAGTAGGGGAAGGGGAGGCTCATTTCCGTGCAAAGAGCGTGGCTCCGTAGTTGTTAGTGGACCAATGACCGGAATGGGGGGGATGTACGCACGTCGACTACGGGCATCTATTGACGCTTAGGAATTTTGGGTTAAAGAGACGGGTGAGGCATGATGGCGGCCTTTTGTATATGGATTCTATGAGGTCGACGATAGGCAGCGATGTGTCGTGGCAGGCAATATGCATGAAAAACCATATCAAACAAGCCCGCCGCTTTAAATACAAAATAAAACGATCTAATAATTGGTTTGCTGATTTACCAAAGCTAATTACGATAAATCGATACTTTCAAACCGCTTTCACAGGTCTAAATTGTTCAAATGATCCAAATTTCCTCTATTTTTAGAATCGCCCAATCGCAGACGCTTCGAGAAACTGTCAACCGAATGCGATGACCAAGGGTCATTGGAAGGTGCCACTTTCGGACTGTTTACTCCCATCTCCCTGCCCTGATTCCGAGCAAATGATGGCCCGAGATCGCGATTTAGAGCACATTAGCCTTTGGGGAGATTGTTTGCCATCGAACTCTGAGTTCCATGACACCCGCCGCTGCAAAAGATTCGGCTGCCCCTCCGCAGAAAAAGCTGAATCGAGACAAAAACAAAGTGACCGGTCGATGACCAAAGAATTTCGAGATTTTTGAAATTTTAGAGAATTTAGGGTTACGACCGTCTTTGCAGCCCTCACCAGAATTCGGGTTCACAAATTCATATTCGAGCTTCCAGCCCTTCTGCTCGACGTCTGCATCCGTCCTCCAGATCAACGTGAAATGTCGCGATTTCGAGATTTGCGTATTGAAACTGGAATTTATACCTTAAATCATGATTTTGCTATTAAACCCACCGTTCGGAATTTGGGCCGATTAGTGCTGTCTTTTCGGCAGGGATGCAATAACTGAAAGTGGAATTTAGATGAGGATACGATACGATATACACATTTAGTGATTTTCAAATGCTTTAATCAGAGCATTTTGAAAATAAACGGACCGGTGGACGACTTGAGCTTGATCTCCGGCTCCTTCGAGCAGCTTCAGCTCATCGTGGTTGCACGTGACGTCGTATTCGATGTCCATATCCACGAATTTAATCTAGGAAAAAGTAGCCATTCAGAGGATTAGATTTATCTCTTTGTATGGTTTTACGGTGTAATTTGTTAAATTTTAAAAGCTAATGACAAGCAAAAACCGATGTGTTTTATGCAATCACGCTTATGACGTGTATCTTCATGGTATCTGCATTAACAAATGCTCACTGGCACTATTCAGACAGCCTTCAAAAATACAGTGCTTCTAATGGCTGACCCAAAGGGCTGTGACCCCTGCCGGGTGCAAAGCCCGTCTTCTTCTATTTGCCATCTTTCACACTCATTCCGAAAAAATGGCTGAGAGAGCGAATTGAGCCCCCTCCTCCTCTCCCAGAAGGGTCAGAAAAATCGGTGCCAAAGAGTCGAAATCCTTCTGGGCGGTCCAGTAGGTCGACAAACATCGAACCCGTTAAATAGGGGCCAAGCTGCCGGGTGGAACATCGAACTGCCATTCTCTGCATCAACCATGAACAAGCTGTAGGTTTTCAATACCTTTAAAGCGCTTTGGCTTCTTAGTTTCTGAATATTACTATAAAAATAATATTTAAACATTTTTAGTGTCTGCCTGGTCGCTCTTCTCGCCATCCTGGCCGTCTGCACTGAGGCCCAATACTATGTAAGTTAATTTTAATGTGAAAGTATGGATAAAATCGATAAAACTGATGAATTATTCCCACTTTTTAGTACGGCAGCTACGGATATCCCTACTACGGATACGGTGGATATGGCTACGGATACGGATACGGCTACCCCTACTACGGCGGATACTACGGTATCTACGGCAAACGCGAAGCCGGCTTTGCTCCACAACAACAACAGCAAAATGGGCAGCAATAACGACCCCACGAACTCGACCTAAACACCAATCTATGTGGACCCATTTCCCAAGCCTCAGCGATGTACACACTGTCCTCCCTTCTTCGCCCCTTATTTCATGATGATCTGCAGAGTTTCTATAATAAAATGATTCGGTCATATTCCGCGAAAGCCGTGCAAAACCTTGAAAATGCATACCATTCCAAAAAAAATTAAAAAACAATTCTATTTTTAGTCTTACTGCAGGTGGAAAATTACAAAATCAAAAAGATTAAGCTTAAAAAAACTTCCGATTCTTCACCCCGAGCCTCAAGAAATTCTCAAAACCCACTGCGAATTTCAAAGCCATACACTCCACCTTACAACCCTACAAAATCACCCTTATTCGCCAAATTCTTCCCGCCGAAAGTACTGTTTCCGGTCGTCACCCCCGTCATCACAAGATGTCACCTTACATGATAGACCAAAGGTGTATTGTGTAGTCAGCGAGAAGAACGCTAAAAGATCACAAAATACTTTTGCCCCTAAAAGTCGGTAATACAAGAATTCCCTACCAGTATTGAGATGCATATGCATATGCAAATCGTCACTCAGATCCCATCTAAAATAGAGCAACTAAAACTTTATTTTCTTACTTTCGTAGGTCAACTGCACTTGCAGGTCGAGGATTTGCTGGGGGCTGGTCTTTTGTGGAAAACACTCGTCGACAATGAATTCCCTCAAATCCGGTTCTGGCCCCCTCTACCGGGGCTCTATTAGGGCATCACTATAAATTTGGTTGGTTGTGCAGGAAAGGGGGCAACACAACGCATTTACACTTGCTCACATTACTCTGCCGTTCCTATGGAAGCCATATTGTAAGGGTGGTTCTTAAGAATGTTTTAGTCAGAGGTTTAGCTTGGTTCTGTTGATTGCACTTCTAATCTTTGTGCAAGATACTACATCGCAATATTACGGGGTAAGTTTGGATTTAAAATAGCTGTTGGTTACAAAAAGTATCAATGTTTTAAACGGTAGTGCTTATAAAAACGTTGAAAATATGCATATAACTCTCGAAAATTGGATACTATGCGTAACGGCTGCGAAATAATTATTTAATTCTGCGCATCAACATCATATCTGCGTAATACTTACGTTAGTTAAACGCAAAAAGTATTCTTGAAACACTAATGAATTATGTCAGCCTTCCAAAAAAACCTATTTAATTCTTAAAAATTGCTACCAATATTTTTAAAAACGTTATTTTAGTACGGCTACGGTTACCCGGCGTACGGTGGCTACTATCCGAGTCTGCTCGGCCTCGGCTATGGCAGAAAACGATCCGCTGGATTCCCAGAAAAATCGTGAAATTCCAGATTTCCAACCCATCATCACTTTCTCGTTATTTTTTAATGATGAAATGCAAATCCGTACTTTCCACACAAAATTCGGCACATTCTAGGGTTGAGAAACGTGCACGGAATCAGAGATTCTCCTCAAACAACATAGCCCCCCTCCTTCTCGCCAGGCTTTGTTGGCACCCAACAGTCCACGGAGGTCCCAGGTTTTCACCGAGACAACAGACGATTCCGACAAAAAAAACTGTTGGGCCCTAGTGGGCACCAAATAGAACGCACGGGACTGGGGAGGGATAGCTAACAATGAAATGTCAATCTGGGGAGGGTATATAAGTCTCGAGGTTTTCAAGCAACTTCACTCAACAGTCCACCCACCAACAATGAACACCTCCGTGAAAGTGTGGGTTTTTTAATAGTCTCTAGACTTTCATTATATTTAATTTCCTATATATCACTTAAAATTATATTTAGTGTCTGCCTTGTCGCCCTTCTATGCCTTTTCGCCCTTTCGGCTGAGGCTCAGTGGTACGGTGGATATGTAAGTTTTTTTCGGAATATCTATATACATCAAGCACCCAGCTTAAACCTATACTTTAAATACCTTAAACTTTCTTTTTAGTACGGCGGCTACCCATCATACTATGGTGGATACTACGGCAGCTACGGATACCCGTATGCTGGCTACGGCTACGGTGGATACGGATACGGTGGATGGGTGAAGCGCGAGGCCGGTTTCCCGCAACAACCCAAGGCCGTCTCGGGACCCAACCAGTAATATTGGTACCCTGCCAATCGCCTCCTCGTTCTTTCTTCCCGCCCCAAACAACGATCTGTGTACAGTCTGAGAATAAATGGTTCTCACTACGACCACCTTTAATCAAAACGCAGTACATACCTTAACAGCTTGCCCTTCTGGCGCCTCAAAAATCCACATGCAATGCGAATTTGGCAAGTAATTATTCGGATAGTTGGGCGAGCTCAGGGTATACTCCTCATCAAGTTGCCCCTCGCGGATAAAACCACCGCATTCTAAAAAAAATATTTATATAGCTCTATAAATCAGACTCTTAAATGCTACTCTACTGAAAAATTTGAATACCTTGGAATGACACCGTCATATTGAAACGGGTAAAATAGTGCTTCAACGGATCGTCCAAATTCTTGTGAACCCAGATGTGGACGTTGATCTCTGGGTTTAAGAACGTCTAGAATTGCGTATTATTTATAATAATTTTGCAAATTACCGCCACGTAGGTCTCATTTCCAAGCAAACGGAACGTCGCGTTACAAAGCCGTTCATTCACCGGCCAAGGGTCGTTTTGGGGAGCTAAACGTAGCAGACTAGCCGAGTTTACTAAGGAAACCCCACTCAAGAATTCAATAAAATTGGTGTAGTCGTTGCAATAAGCATAATGAACCGGACTCGTCGATCGATAATCAGTGATCTCTACCGAAATTGTCTGCACAGCGGGCTTCTTCTTTGGGCGGCGAATCACCAAGTGGCAATACCCTAAAATTTTTAATATTAACAACGGGCCTTCCTCCTACCGGCTCTGAGACGCAGCGCTGGGTTTGTCGTCGTCTCAAGTCGGCTGCTGATATAGATTGTCGAATTTCGGCGGAGCTCCAGCATGCAAGCATCCTCGTGTAACATTTTTTCGGGTACCTAAGAAACGATGAAGTTTCTCATTCGTTTCAACCCACTTTCGTATATTTAATACGGAAGGGCCGATATTGTTCGTTGAGCTGTATGGTCTCGTCATATCTCGAGGCATCCCGGACCAATGTATCACTAAAAAATTAGGTTTCCGCGTTGACAAAAACTGAAAATTACCTGTATTTCAGTGAAATGAGATCGGCAGTTGATACGAATTGGGTACGGTTTGTGCAGAAGTATCGATCGCTTAGGTAATTTGTCAGTCGATGTTCTGGCAGACCGTCGTGGATCTTTATTAATTGTATAAATGTCAAAGTAGGTATAAAAGTGCCTTAACCGTCTCTCTCGCTTTCTCTCTCTCTCACCCGCTGTCTCTCACTCTCTCTCTCTCTCTCTCTCTCTATCTCGTTGCATACCTGTATGTGCGAGTAACATTTCCCGACCTCTGGCATCATATACGTGTCGGTATTCCAGTTCTAGAAATCGAATTCACTTTCCCGTTGCCCAAACAATACCGCCTCATCCAAAAATTCAAAATCCAGAACATATCCAAATCGAATTCCCGCATCGAATAACCACTCGCACCTGTAAAAGGTTCAATTCATCTTTTCAAAATCATACGTGACGTGCGGTAGTAATTGACCCGGATATCCAGGGGCCGTAATAAACCCAGACTCGTCGTTGATCGTTCCGCCACAAGCTGAAACAATTGTCATAACAATAACTCATCCTTACAAATGTTGCTGACACTCAATGCAAGCTCAAAACCGCATTTCTTGGATGTGCAATACATTCGAGTGCCCCTCGATTGGGTGTTGTTTGCGTGGAAATCGACCTGAGGCTTCGTTTTTAACCAGCTATTCTATGCATAAACTACCGTAACCATTGGTGTTGAGGAGCGCTTTTTGGAGTCGCTGAGGGCAATGCCGGTGCAGACAGGTGGCATCAAGTCGGGATCTAACACGGAGCAGTTGGCAAAATATGCGCTACGATAAAATTCATTAATATTTACCCGTTGCGTTTCCATCCCTAATCGCCAAATAGTCAGAAGAACAGTTCTTATTCCATGACACCCAAATGTGTTCGAGACTAAAAGGAACCGTAAAGGCGCGTGATCTTGGACTTACGATGTTTCGACAAAGTGTGTATTTGGAGCCCGGACGGTCCAGCGGCAATCAGCTTTCAGCGGATATTGATCGGGATAATTCGGAGACGTCAGACTGTATTTTTCGCCTTCTCTCAACACTATCGAGCCACCGCACGTTGCTAAAAGCATAGAATTTTATTGTCCATTTTCCAGCGGCTTTACTTACCAATCTCGTACGTTGCATTCCAGCCCAAACTGGATTGATACGAATCTGTGCGATATCTGACGAGCAATGAATTTCTGAAAATTGGAATTTGGTGCACAGTGAACTAGTGAAAATGCAGTTCATTCATTTTTACCTACCCGGAGCTGTAGATTGTGCTCGGCGGGCGTGTTCCGCAAAAGCGCCCAATGCGCTTGGCGAATACCGTGGGCCCATCGAAAAATTCGATAAAGTCTTCATTGCATCTAAAAGATATCGATGGATGGCCCATCGTTCTTCTATCCTCTAACAAAAAAAAAGATATCTAACGAACGTTTCATTTGAAGTGATGAGATCGAAATGATTCGGATCGAGCGTAAACTGGACACGTCGCCCATTTGGCGCTACGATTACCCATTGGCAATCAAGTGAGTGTGGCGAATCTAAGAATTGTATTTCAAATTTCCTTGGTGACCTACATCGCGGGAATAACGGGCTTTCCAGTATTCTGGAGGGGTTCGCTTCGTCAAGCCGAAGCTCGTCGTTTGTGCATGTCTCATCGTACTCAGAGACCCGGATTTTGAAGCCCTAGAAATACACAGCATTATGCTTAATTACATACCCGTCCTCTCGGTCCCGTTTTTCCGGGTCGGAGAAGGAAGTAGGCGCGGCCTATCGGTAGAATTATCGTGCGATTCGCTAGCTAAATAGCTATGTATAATGCGACTGCAATTTTTCCAAAATTCCACCTTTTCTACAGTTCCACATATTTCCGTTTTTCGTACAACATCCGGCATGGTGCTGATCGCACGATGACTCTAAATTCGGATTTAGGAAGCGCAATCGGCATTAAAGAAAAATTAGCTGCTAAAATGTACAATCATCAGTCCGTCAATGCACCGCCGGCCATCGGAATCGGGGGCATCGGCTTCTCGTAGATCCAGATCCAAAATCTCAACTTTCAGCCGGCGATTCGTAGCAAGAACAATGTTCTTTGCGCATACCTAGGCAAACCACGGGTCTAATTTTCTATACAGTGCAATTCTTACGCTATCCGGGATCGGATTAGGGTAACCCCATGACGTAATCACTCGATCGAAAACACCGAAGCTGCTCTTGATAAAGTCGTAGGAAGAACAGGCTGCAAAGATAAATTCAAAGCCCGTTAAATCACTCACTGAGCTGGTATGCCAATTTGAAACCCCGGCCGCCACGGCTATCATCGGAGGAGAAATAGACATTCATCATCTAATTTTTTTAGGTTGAAACGTTCCGCAAAAAAACTGACCGGATAATACATCAAGTTGAGCGTTCTGTTTCGCTCGCTTGCTTTGCAAATTCTGTTGGATTGGGGTATCGCCCTATAAACAAGCTCTTAAAAAAAGCATTCGAACAAACTCCAGCTCATCACCGGTTCGTTTGGGCACAGTGCTTGGTACAGTGATAGCCAAATAGTCGTAGCGGCATTCTGTCGTAGTCTCAATGTCGATATCCATTATCTGAATTTCAAAAAATCGGTGTTTTTCGAAGAGGGAATATGGTGTCGGACAGTTACAAACCGTCATTTTCATCCCGTAAAATAGCGGCTTTTGGAAAGTCCATTTACAGCGTAATCTTTCGCTGTACGCGCCTGGATATCCGGGACTGGTCAAATATCCTGTGGTTTCTTCCATGATTTTCGGTCCACCACAATTGAAATCTTAAGAAGGTTATTTATATAGGTGATATTGTAAATACCAAGCATTCCCGGAATTGCCGTTGTATTCGTAGGCTCCGTCCAATTGGCACCTCTCTTGGGCACAGGGGTCCAGCTAGAACTTCGGTCAAAAGCACAGTACATGGAAATACCGTAACCGAAAACCAGCACGAAGAGGTGCGGTAAAGGTTATCATCATTGAAGAATAATCGATATATGTATCTAAATTATTTTAAAATCTTGCAGTTTCTTTAAATACCGACAGGGCGTGCCCATCCCGCAAATCTCAATTGAGGGCCCTCGATTCTCATGCCCAGATCATCAACCTCGGATATCTAAATATTTTAACAGACATTAATAATTTGTTCATCCTTTCTTACAAACAATCCATCAATCGGATTTTCAGCTGGAATGGAGAGTCGCTCAAAATGGATTAAAAAGCCTTGATCAGGCTTCGCTTTGACATTCCACCATCTCGTGCCCAAGTCGTCGCTAAAAATTGGATTCTTTTCCAATAAATGGATTAAACCTGATCTGTGGGTCATTGTAATATTCAATGTCCTGGGAAGTTGTAGGGCCCATAAGATCTAGAACAATTAGTTGATAAAATTGTCCTAGTGTGCTTACAAGAAGGAAGACGATTGAACTCGAGTTTCAGCTTGTTTTTCGTCTGGTCGATTGCCGTATTCATGTATTCATCGCCGGCGACAAATTCGTAACGTAATTTTACCCAGAAGCTTTCGCCCTTAAAACACTTGTTGTTTTCTCTAATACATTTCATCCAAGCCCAGGGCTGAGGCTTAGATGAAATACGGTGTCTATACACTTTACAAGGTCTTAACGGTATACCTTCAAGGTGAGAGGTGTATCCCTAGAGCAATACCGCCCTTGAAGCTCGCCCGTAGAATTTCCACGCCTAATTTCCAGATATGATGCTGCACATTCATCGGATGGAGGTAGAGTCAATTCCCTGACCAACAACTGAAGCCAAAATGTTTACCCTTACCAAAGTTTCAACTGTGTCTTTCCACCCGGGAAATTCTGGATCTCCCACTCGCAGTTGAATTCGGAGGCCCGGATGTTTGGTAGTAGAATAAAGCCGCTCGGTCGTCGCACAATGCCTCCACATGCTAAATTTTTATTTGATGGCGTAATCGAATGTTTCTTGCCTGTTCCTCCGGCCACATAGTTCAGATGGATTCGTTCACGGAATATGCCGCGTGCCCTTTCGATGTTGACTTTTATCTGAAGAATTGTGGATAGTTTAACGTGCACCTGATTTCTTTTAATTCCTTTTAATTCGATTCGTTAACCTTGTAGTTAAAAAGATCCTTGTGAACGTTTAGGAAGAGTAAAAACGAATTAGAATTCTGCTTCTGATTAAACCAAAAACTTGAACTCTCGACCCTCGCTTAACTAGGGAAATACCTGAACTCTTTTATCGCTTAAAAAAACTGAAAAAAAACACTATTGGACGTAGATTTTTGCGCTGATCAAGAATCCGTTGTCAAATGCGCACACTATTGATCGAATAGCGCAAAAACTGCGTGATAGCGTTCCATTTTTCCAAAGTGAAAAACGACAGCCTGATAAACTGACTTCTCCGTTGCCACGGTAGTCCATCTTCATTTCTTTCCCAGCAGCCCCGACGTAGCGTGTATCCAATCTGTGCAAATCCCTAGTAACAATCAGTATAAAGCATAAACACCGGCCCACCAGTCACCACCATCCACTTGAACTTGGATAGATCCCGTTTCGAAGTTCTCATCAGGTTTCTGAATTCAAACCATTTTTATTGGGATGCATGGTTACCATATTGTTCGAATTGGGACCGATGCGGACAAATAGATCTTCAATTTCGACAAAAACTCCCGGAGTAGCCGCCTCCCAATCTGAAGTCTCAAGTCAAATTACTCCAGTGGACTTTACTTGGCACAAAAGTCAAGTTGCAGTAGTCTTCCTCCAAATCCATGATATTCAGTGTTTTCATCTTTTCGCCGACTACAATACGACCTCCACATTCCGACCAGGCTGTGACAGCGAATCCGTGCTTACACAATTATATTTATTTTTTAGACTCCCCCGATTTACCCGTTTTTCCTCGCCACTTTTCGAAACTTGAGCATCACCGCTCTTCCATCGGATCCAAGCCTAAAATAATTAAAATCATTTGACTCAAAATGGCTCACTTTTGGGTATGGTACTCGGATCAACATCGGGTTCTCAACCGTATTGCAAATCCTCTCTTGGACACGGGTGGCTCGATGTTCTGGAAAATACGGTATTCGTTTACATAAGTATTTTTTGGCCACCAGTTCTGTAGAGCCCGTGTATTTCGAGGAAACCGTTCATCTCGAAGATAGGACTCCCGCGGTCCGCCTGAAATGTAGGGCTCGGGTTTTGAGCTTCAGAAAACAGTTTTTTTTGCTTGGGATAACAATTATCAGCCTTTCACCAAAAAATCCCCACCCACCTTGCAGCTGAAATTCTGTTCTTCGCGCGGCAGGTATAAGGAGCTCGTTTTCTCGCCAGCCGGACGATACTCATCAAGACGGAGCACCAGTGAATGTCCATCTGGTGCCTAACAACGATTTTTGTTTGTTTTAACTAATGTATTTCGTCTAAGAATTCGACCCACCTCCACAAAATACTCGCACCATACACCTTTTTCCTGCGATTTCGGGAATCCGGGTGAATGGAAAGCGGCCTTCTCGGTTTGTTCCACTAGATTTTTTTAGTAAAAAAATTCAAATCTGGCTACAAATTGTGCTTCCGCCACATTCGGTGCCGTTGACTTCAACAAATCTGGTGGAGAAAGTGATAAAAGGTTGTGCGCCCGAAGACTGGATGTATTTTGTCGGCATCTAAAAACCAAACTTGATATCCTAAATGGGTCTTCCAAACCTGCAGCCGCATAAATAGTTCATTGCCATGTGATACGTAAGTTAAGTTCGTTAACTGATCGCACAAAACGCGTTGGGCCAGACCGGACTCGTTGTTTCTTCCGGAATAAAACTGGAATTTTGAAGGTTATCATGCTTATTTGACCTGATTAAACGCGTTAAGTAAGACTTACGCCCAATCCTGAATATTTTGCACCAGCAGGGTCACACTCTACATCGGCCGGCCGGTAAATAGACAGTGTATGCACGCTGAACACCAACGTTACAACGCTTTAAAATATTCCCACATGACATTAATAACTTTGCCGGGCTCTGTCTCCATCATCCATTGACATTCGATAAATTCAGCATTCTGATCGATATCTTCCTTTGACACCGACACATTTTGACCGTTGTACAAATTGCCGCCACAGCCTAAATTAACCATGTATAGATGCCTGGTGCGTACAGTAATACCCAGCGTTCGCCAATTCAACGAAAATAGATTGGTTTCCAGCTTCGTGCTGAATTCGATGTGCAGCGTGTTGTTTTTCGACTAGATGAAATGGTTGGGGTAAATTCATTACTTATGACTTCGTTTATAAGACTCGTTATTCATAAATTTTGATATTGATAAATTCATATGCCTTAAATTACGTCTATATGAAGATAGGTAGGTCTTTAAAATTTTCGCTTAAAAGAATTTAAAAGTGTTGATGAGCAACGGAATTATGAGTGCTGAGTTTTTTGGGTGATGGGTTAGAATGGAACTGCCGATCGAGATCAAATTTCCAGCTTACCGTAACCGTCAACGGCGTTTGGGTCTCACAAAAAGTGGTGATCGTGTTGGTGACGTTCACACCGCCCAATGGATCTTTTATTTCCGCGCTTGCAACTTCGCCATCTCCGAACTAAAATGGAATAAACTGACTCGAAATTCACTACGTGAAAAGTTATCGCCCCGAAATAATTTGCCATGTTGTTAATTTTCTGAAGAAAAAACGATTCGCCAAGAAAAAATAGCATTCATTTTCAGGGTATTGACTTTTGGGGTTATTTCTTTATGTCTAAGACAAACACAAACCTTTAGATAATCATTGGCACATTCCTTCCCATAACTCCTCCATCTATTCGACGGTTGCAAGATGAAACGATTGAAGCGCAGCTCAATTCTGTTTCCTCGAGGCACGATTATGGTCCAGGAACATTGACTAAAAAATTTTTATCGCGCTCTAAACTAAGCTCACCGGTTGCCATACGCTTCATTTGGATAACCGGGTGACTGCAGCGCCCCAATTATGCTTCGATGGACTACATCAGTGCATACTGTAAAATCCGGTTACAAAAAATTCGAGGTCCTAGTCTTTTCGGATGAGAGAACGAAAAGTACCTTATCCTAAAGAAAATTGTGATGTACCCTCTTTCTCCCGGATACTATAAACACGAATTCACAAATTACACGTATTCACTAAATTTCCATCCAAAAATTATACCCGTGGTGAAATGACTGAGGAAGCCGAAGAGCGTTCCGAGATGTAGACCGCCATATTGCTTGTAGCGGACATTCAACTAAATCGCAGCAAAATTATAGAAGCCTACCCAAAAAGTTGGCCAGTTAAACGGAACCCACCGTATTCCCTTCCGAAACAATTGGAGCGACGCCAATCTCTTTTTTACAAATCCGCCGCAGTAGACCATTGTTGTCAGAAATCTAAGGAATTCTTTCTATACAATTTGCGTTGATTTACCTGTAGCAGATTGTGTGCATAGATTCCACAATTGCCATTTTGGTCTGCTGATCTGAAATCGTCGATCATGGCGAGGGCTAGTCTGATACGGTTTCCTGCAAAGGATGGCCATAAAAAATTTCGAAAAAGAATTTTCGACAATTTCACGGTCGACTCGCTCAAACAGCTCAAAAATTAACCCTGTGCAACGGCAATCGTCCATTGGCAATCCATCGATCGAGCATCTTTTAGGGGGAACTGAGGTGCAGCTACGGTACCCTGTATCCCGTCAACGTGTCCACCACAACCTAAAATTAGATTTGAAATGTACGGTTGCTTTTGCTGAGCGTAGTGATATTCTAACCCACCGCCCGACAGCGTTTCATATGAAATATTGAAGGAAGTCACCGCTGGGTTGTTAGTCTTCAACTTGAAGTAAACGCGATTTCCGTGAGAGCTAAATGTTTGATTTGTTTTGTCTTGGAAAATGCATTACCGTAGCTCCTTAAAGCTGTGATCATCGCAGACCTCGTTTTCTTCGTATAGTGAATGGAATCCCGCGGATTGTTCATTAGCGCCGTTTCTAAAAGATTTTATCGTTTTATTTAGGATTTTGCCACCTCATGCTCAGCATTCCCATAGTGCAAGGCATCGCCAATTGGTTGAGAGACAGGAGAATGCGATTTCCAGGGGCAACCTGAAAAGGATGAATCACTTAATGGGTGCCGGAGAGTCGAATTCAATTAGCATAAAACCGTTTCAAACAAACCGCTATGTGGTATTGGCATTCAAAGGCTCGAGTCGCCGTCCCATTAAAAACAATTTCCCCGGCGGGAGCCAGATAGGACCGATCGCAATCTTTTGTCGCGTCCGCCATACTCCATCTAAATTTACATTTGATTTATATAATTTGTTTTGAAAATATTTCGGGTTATCGTCCAATAGTGCCACATTTCCTGAAAAAAATGAACTTACCGGGCCGAGAATCCAGTCGCCGGGACTGATCGATCGCTAACAAAAACGATCGTCATCTTGTAGCCAGAAGAAAGGAGCGTGGGTGGGATGACGGTACCACAGAATCTGAAGTATACATCATTTCATGTACTTGGTTCGAGATTGGCATTACCTTCCCAATAGCGGCCCATTGATGTCGCCATCGTAGACAGAAACGTGATCAAAAGAGCACTCGTCATTTGGCACAACCTCCACTTCAAAGTTGTCAAAGCTGAGCCGGACGATTTTTTGCTAAGATGACCATGCTCTAATAGTAAAACCAGCGCTCACGTATCCGACAGTGATTTGGTATACGCAATGCATATGTGGCAGGTATTTTTCTGGGAAGTTGGGGCTCTTGACGGTACCAGCCATTCCGTTATAAGTCCCGCCGCAGCCTATAAACAAAAGTGCTAGCATTTCGGGATCCGCATTAAAATTTGAATGAATGTTATTTTAAACGTTATCTAAAAAATTACAAACAATGTTTCCTGTAAGTTTTTGAATCTTTAATCGGAACATACCAACGTCAAAGACCTCATATTCCAGCAAGAAACCAGTGTTTTTCTCGTGTCCGCTCGTTGAATAGGTGATCTAAAGAGTTTCAAACATCATTTTATCAGAATTCATACCTCAACCGGGTTTCCTCCACTGGTTATTAATGTTGAACCGGGAGTGAACGGGTACTTCGGACAATAATAACGCATATTCAGGTTCTTATTCAAGGGGTTTCCACCACCGATCTGTCATCAAAAATTGTAAAAATCTGCGCTGTCCTCAAACCTCAATATAATCGTCCAGATCTTCAGTTGAAGCATTGAAGAAGCATTGCTTTGTGGTGGCCACTTGTAGTCCAACATTGCGGATCCTAAAATAATTTGAGGAATAAATAAAGCGAGCCGACTTGATGCGAACGGCTTCTTTCTTCTCGGATGGGATGACAAAGGTGCATTTAAAGGGACGAGGTGAGCGGTTCGGGTAATTCCAGGGTGACACCGTCCCATTCTTCTCATATAATACTTTTTCGCAAACTGAAAAGGGAATTTAGAGGCGACTGCTTTGTTTTATGGTATCTTTGTTGGATCAATCTGGCTAGCAATATAGGTTAACTCAAGCGAAAGTTGCTTACGACTTTCTGGTTCTTTCAATTCACACGGAATCGGTTCTGTTGCGTTAGCGGAGGGGGGGGTCTCAATAGTATCGAAAAAACCTTTTAGAAAATAAAAGTGGAAGGGGACTCCCCCGATAATTCCCCCCCCCCCGCTAACGCATTAAAACCACTGAGTCAGACCCACCCAGAGAATAAAGCATCTCGAATCCCTTTCCAGGCCCAGCCTCGTTTGAGTGGAAGCGGATAGATGCTTTTGCTCCCTTCATATAGAGTGGCTTCGTCAGCTTATGCGTCAAACAGTAATCTTTCGACTCTCCAGCGACCACGTCTTCAATCTGAAATAGCGTATGTCTAGTTACGCCACGTACTTTATCCGGGCTTAAAAAAGCGACCATTTCGCTGCGAAATTTCAAAATCTCGTTTTGATAACTTACCCGGAGATAGTCCGGCGTGCAGCTGCGCGGGATCAGGCTAAATTGCGGCCGCGAAAACGGAGTCAAACGATCGGTACGTTGAGAACGGTCGCGACCACCGAAGTCCAACAGCCAGTACCCATTCACATCAAACGTCGGGAACTCGAGCTGAAGGCAGTGGCAGTCAACTTCCTTTTTGTTTTCTTACCTTTAGCATATGATCATCAGTCAGCTGATTCTCAGTCTCATTCTGTCCAATCGACCCGTCAAGCAACCATGTACAATCAAGATTCGCGAAGTACATTCCAGGGAAGTTCGGTGACGTGATTTTCCCTCTAAACTCATCCTTGCCGTCCCATTTGACAACTCCTCCACACGAATAATCGGCTGAAATAGCTTTTTAAAAATTTTGATGCTGAAGGCGTACGCTCAACGGCCTTGTATGTGATCCTAAAGCCGGGATAAATTTTCGGGGCTTCTGTTGTCGTATCGGTGGTGGAGGCTGTATTTCCTAAAATATCTTGCTAGAGTACTGCAAAGGAGTTCCTTGGAAAATTACGGGTAAGGCATACTTTTTAACTGGAGGAAGTAGCGGAAAGCGATGGTGATAGTCGGTCCTGTTGAACGGAGAACAAGGGTTTGATTCGTCGATTCACAAACCCCCATGATTCTTGAAAGGGTCAGTAATCCGTCAAATACCTGCATAATAATTCTAGGTCGGCTTCTAGAAAAAAGCCAGACCTCGAGCGAATTGACCGTACACAGTCTTGTATCGTCGGTCGGCATCACCACCGGTGGCACGGTAAATTCGATGATTTTTCCCGCCGGCACCTAAGCACGAATTAGCTACCAACCCATCGTATCCATACCGTAATAAACCATTCACAGCCCGTTTCGTCCTCATAGTCAGGCATTTCAATCGTCCCTTGTTCCTCGTTTGTCCGGTATCCGCATCCTAGTTTTATTTTTGATTTTAAGAACAATGTTGAACAAACTTCGCGCATCCAAGCGCCATCCAAAGTTGAAGATCGGCCCGAACGCCCCGCTATACCGTAGCAACCCTCCAACCGTAGACGTGAAACGAATTTTTTGATGTAGGTTTGGCGCCTAAACTAATCACGCTATTTTTGCCTCGGATACCGTAGGACTGGTGCTGCTGTCTCCGCAGAACACGGCAATCAATGGATCCTTATCCGTCACACCATCGTAGAGCTAAATCCATAGGGTGACTATTTTATTACTCGGAACTTACCGTCAAGCTGCCAACAGTTTCATTGCATCGGGTGGGCCCGGATCGATCTCCCATTCCCATTTTACCGAACGACGTGAAGAATAAATTCAGAGCCTAGATATCTTAATCCCGTTTTACTACCTAATCTTACATTTTCGGTCAAATTCTCGGGTGCGATCACAAAGTCGCAACTTTCGCGCGCTGACCTGACGCGGAAATCTGCTGGATATCGCAAAAGCCCTGTGCTCGTTTTGTTGTGCATTCCGCAGCCTGAAATTTCCACAATAAGGCCATGCTGCTCCTCTTACCGTCTTCTTCCAATTCACATTTCGTCCCGTAAAATCCTTCCTTGCATTCGCAGAAGAATCCAGTAAAGCCGCGAGGTTGACACTGTAAAATGTTTAGCTCGGAACTTTTGCAGGTTTTCGATTACCAGGCCCTGGTTCTGGCAGGGATTATTTCTGCAGGGACTCGGCCGCTCGCATCTTTTCCCAATGTAGCCGTCCTTGCATTTGCATTGAAATTCAGAGTCGCTGATTGGCTAAAAAAAGATGCAATAGTTCTTTTTCTGACGCATTTTTCTGTTATCAAAGGTTTGCTTTAGCGTTAAAAGACTATTTGTATCTTTGGTCATAACTAGTTTTTCACTTACTAAGCAAGTCCCATCATTCAAACATCGATTTGCTTCAGCACAAATCGTTGTGTTATCCCTAGAAAAGAACATAGTATGTAGTAAATTAAACCATAAAGCTACCGAATGCAACCCTCGACACCAAGACCATCGCCAGCGTATCCGGCCGCACAGTGACAAACAACACCAGCCGTTGTGAACGATTCCCCTGAAATCCAAAATAAAAATGAACAAAAGCTGAAACGAGCCAGCTTGATCCGGTTGGCAAGTTGCCAACGGGTGACAGGGCGAAATATCCGCTGCGCAAGGGTCGAGCTTCGTACAAGTAGCTCCATCACCGGAATATCCTAGAAGAGCATGTCTTTACGCAGCCTACACTACCTTCCGGGCAACTGCCACATTTATAGCCGCCGTATGTATTGTAACAGTCAACTTGCGGGGATCTCGAACACGGATATAACCCCTCAGAGCATTCATCGATGTCGTAGCAATTTTGGCCGGTGCCTCAAAAGAAAGTTTTTTAGAAACATTAGCCTGTAAATCGACCTTTCACTTTAGTCTTACCTCTGAAGCCGCTGGGACATCCTGAACAAATGAACGTGCCTGGCAGGTTGACGCATTTGACCCCTGGATGGCACGGCTGTGTACGGCATTCATCTAAAAACAAACGAATTTTCCTATGGAACGCTCCCTACCAAAGTCGACACAAGTCGGATTCTTCGTATCGGGTGAGAGCTCGTATCCCCAGTCGCATAAGCACTTGTACTTTGGCTAAAACAGCTCTAGTAATATTTTTTGGGTTCTGATTTTTTTGGACACCAATTTTTGCACGCTTACCTCAGTTTCAGATTCCTTTTCCATACAATGTCCGTGTGGGCCACATATCTCCGTATTCTTCAGGCAGGTCGATGTTTTGTATTGGCAAAGAGGGCCGTGATATCCGCTCGAGCAATTACAGCTGAAAAATGGCCAATATGGAGAAAATAAACTATTCCTGGTTCGCCCGTTGCTCGCACCATTCAAATTAAAGTAACTTACCTCATTCCGACACTGGTGGTATTACAAGTTGCATTATTCTGACAGCCGGCATGCGTACCGCCATATAATTCGCATAGGTCTTGTAGTCTTTCACAATCCTTTCCCTAAAGGCGAATCATTCATATCCTGAACAAGCGTACCATGAACGTTGACGGGCAAATACAAACGTATCCGTTGTATTTTGGGATACAAGTGGCACCGTTTTGACAGGGCGACTTCGAACAACGATCCTCGATAAGGTTCGTATAGATTTCCCTATAACCCGGCCATTTTCCATTGTTTCAAAAACCCAATATTTCTAAAAATCAGACCTCACAAGCTTGTTGAGCTTCAATGTCTGCCGCCGGTACCGCAGCTCCCGAGACGTCAGATTCCTGAGCAATTTCTTTAGCGCCATCGTGTCCCATGTCAGATTTTGCAGCTGAAACAAGGCTCGAGAGTCTATGACATGCCCACTTTCTTATTCCAAATATCGTACAGAGGCAGCTTCAGTTTCCATAGCCGAAATAAAGTCGAACTCTGAAAGAGAAGTTGTGCATCATTTGCAAAAAATTACATCGATTTCCAACTTGTTCAGCATTCCTTCCGCGATTCCAAGCCTGTTCAACGTCTCGTTATACGAAGCCTATAAAATGCCTTTAAATAAGTCATTAAAAATAGAGGAAGATGGCTTTTCCAGGCGTACCAGCTCAGGCAATTGCGAAATATCGGTATCATGCAGAAAAACAGAACCGCCGCCAGCCGTCCGAAAAGTGATATTCTTCCCAAGCCCGGCATGGAAAAACATATTCCCGTTGACGAGCAGTAATCGAGACCTAGACACCAATTTATTTTAGCCCTCAACATACCTGGGCTCATCCTCAACGAAGATTTCATTAATCTGGAGCTCATCTTCTTCTGCGGCTGTATAGGAGCACCATGGTACCGAATACAGTACCCAAATTAGGAGCAACAACCGCATGCGAGCGGTATCGCGTAGTGCCAGTTACTATAAAAAAACCTCGAATATGCCAGGTGCCCTTCGATAGTGCCAATCAAAATTGAGCGGGGCTACCCGGTGGTAATCTGATCTGCAGGAAGGGTGGCAAAACCGAGAAGCAATCCACTACGTAAACTGTCAGATGTGACGTGCCCTCCGTTCGTTGTCCACGTATCATTTTACCGATCAATGTGAGACTGTAAGGGACCCAACATTTTATCTAAAAAACAACCTAGAATGTATAAAGCTCGAGTGTGTTACAACAGATATATTTTAGTTTATTCTATCAGAAAAAACAACAAATAACAATAACCAGCGTAACAAAATGAACCTTTGTTTTGGTTTTTATTTAGCCGCACAAAGCCGCACCGCCTCGTCCTTGATGTCGACTCCAGACTAGAACGAAATAAAATCAACGGAAAAGTCCTACCTTTCCGAGCTTATAGAGGAAGACATCTTCAAAATCCTTTTCTCCCCTCCGGCCGCGATAAATTCGCCGAGCATCGCCTTTTTCAACTTTTTCACCTGAAATTCCATTAGATCGAGTATAATCGGACAACCTGCATCTCTCCACCGGCCTCGCCAAGCTTCCGCTTTATCGAAGCTCGCCATTTTAGAGACGGGATCTTCAAAAAGATACATTACACGTCATTTGCAAAAAATTACCGATTTTCCGGAAGACCCGTTACGCTGTACTCCATCCTCTTCCTTTACCGCTTCCGATTTGGCGCTTTCGCTAGCTTCGGCTTCCTTCTTTTGCGCATCGACCGCGGCCTCACGCTGCTGCTTGGCGAGGGCTTGTTCTTTCTACAACAGGGGATTTATTGACAACCAAATTTCTATACCTGGATCTTGCTGGCTTCCTCCGAAATAGCGGCCCACGCTCGTTCGCACAAGCTTCGATTATGGATCCGAATTGAATTCATCAAAAAGTTGATGAACTTGGCTTCCTAGGTTGAGAGCGTTAAACACTATTATTCATTTTCCGTTATTTTGCCGTTTCCACTGCAACTCACTTTTCGAGGGATATTGGAGAAGCCGGTGATGCGCTGTAGCAAGTCCTTTAGCCCGGGCTCAGTCACGGCAGAAATTGCCCTCTCAACTTGATCGGTCCATTCATTTTGCTTGGCTTCGCCCTGATTTGACTGTAAGTTTTGGGAGGCGGCCCACCTTATTCACTTTCGCCACAAAGTTCTTCCCACCATATTTCTCGTTCTCCGTGATGCATTTTCGGTGCTCATCGTAGCTCTTGGCACTGAATTTTACATTAAAAGTGTGTCCTTGTATGGATTGCATTCAGCATGAAATATTAACCTACTTGAAAACGGCCTGACAATCAACACACGAGTATTGGTTCGAGTGACATCTAAAATGTAAAATAGTAAAGTTGGTGCTAATGCACAACGGGGGGGGGGCACCCTAGTTCAAGGTTCCTAGACGTTCTAGACTACGTTTCTTATCCCATAGGCTAGTCCAAGGGCAAGCCTGAGCTTGGCTTCATTGAAAACCAAGTCTAAGCCATGCTTAAACCAAGCAAAGCCTATATTAAGTCAACCCTCAAATGTTTTCGATCCCTTAAGGCAAATTGAGGCTAAGCTAAGCTTAGGCCTCGGCCGGGGCTAAGCTAGACTTGGGCATAGCTAAGTTAAGCCTAAGTCTAAGCTTAAAAACAAGCAACCCGAAGCGGAGTGTTCCGTAATCTTGGCCGTAAAAAATTTGGGTGCCTCCCGTTGTGCACCAGCAACGTGAATTTTAGAAGGTAACAACAAACTTGTATTCGTGCGTCTGTACTTGTTGCTTCTTCAGCGAATCGTTGCAGCGGCCACAAACGAAGTAGACCATAGTCCCTGTAAAATGCACTGTAGATGTTTAGCTATAACGATCAGGAAAACGAACAGACGAGGAAATTAGTTTCACAAGGTCGGTTTCGAAATATAATCTCGTGAAAACGGTATCGTTTTGCTAAATATCTGCATTAAACCTTGGAAGACTTTATCACTTGTGTATGAGTTAAGAGCCAGTAACAAACCCGAAGCTGGTGAAAGCTGAAAATTATGCAATAAAATAAGGAGGGGAAAAGCAAGTCAAGTTACGGGATCCTCGCCCCAAAATGCGGAGGGTGAAAGTGTGGGCGAGAACTATAAAACCGAAAACAATCAATCAAGTATCCTTATTCAACATAGGCAAGAGGGTATCATATCCATAAGAGCCGCTCGACGACGTCAAAGAGAAGCGACGACCTTGGAAATCATAATACAAAGTGAAATGAAAAGCAATGTTCGAGAGGACAAAGCTATATTCCGCCAGAGCAAAAATCGTGTAAACGCCAGGTTCGCAGTAGGCATTATGCCGCCAGTAGAGGTACGATGCTATAGTCATCGATATGATGGCTACAGCTGATGCCAGGATTTTATACTCATAAGAGCTTTCACCCTGGAAAGAAGTATTTACGTTGTATGATCAGCCATACCAGGCTAGTGGTACGTCGTCGTCCGGACAGGCTGAACAGCCATGTGGCAAGACACATATAGAGCAAGCTGGAGATCACGAACCCCACGAAGCATACTTTGTGGGCTTCTCGAAAATTCTGCATTGGGTTGCTTTTTTGATGGGGTTACCATGGTTCTCCCTTGAGGAAATTGAAGTCAGCCCCAGGAGAAATAAGTTTTCTGCAAGGTTGATCACGCACCCCAACTGGCAGATTATTCGAAACAACGAAACGTTGGTCAACGGTCGAAGCGGCGAAGAAAGCAGAAAGTTTCTAAAGATTTGTTCAAGCTTTCGATTCATCTAATTGGCCACGTTAGCTTATTTCAAACCTGTAAGCGATGGCTAAAGCTAGCCTTGGCCCTCCGTGAATGGCTATAAATACTCGCCAAATATAGATTTCAGGTGAGTAGCTTGAAACAGCTGCCGAAACAGACGGTAACCTAAAAGAATCAGTCCAATAATTTTGAACCTACCAGTTATCCACGCCACAGTGCGTTCTAGTTGTTTGCTCATAATGCAATATCAGAGAAAAGAATATACATAATACAAAGCCGGATAAGGGAAGGCCAGCTATAAGTACGGCAGCGCTCTAAAGACTGTTTGGTAGGGGTGGAACCATCATTCAAGTTCCAAGATTTCCGATAGCTCTTAACGAACACCTTGTCTTTCCTGAAGTTCTAGTTACCAGCCTGTGAAGCCGCCTAGCTCACGCGTTGAATGCTATGAGAATCATCACTGAAGGAGTGCCCCAAAGCTTAGTTTTTCAGATTAAGCCGAGTCGAAAAGGAATAATCTTTGCTTGGAGTCGGATTTTTCGAAAGAACTAAAAGTTGGTAGAGTCGTGCTCCTGAGTTATCTATGAAGCAGGCTTTATAAGCAAAATATCGCTGCCTGTGAAACCTGCACAAGATCGCCTAATTGTAGGGATGCGTATATAAAAATAAGCAGTGCATCCTCCTCGTTAATAGTATGAAGGACCGTCGAAATAAAGCATTATGCCACTCACCTGGAAGGAAAGCGAAATTAAATCGTCCTCACTAATTGCCATGACTATTAGCGTTGCATAAAGCTAAAATCTAGCAGTAGTGGGGGTGGGGAAATCCAGGACAGGTGTCCGGCCCGGGCGTAGATCGCGAGATAAAATCCAGTAACGTAGAAGGAGGCACTCCCAAGGGAGTAGCATAGCTAAATACTTGGTTAGCAGGCAAATCCCGATGCTTGAAATTTTATTCGAAACAGCAACAAAAAAATCCAGTACAACTAATCTAGAAACCAGAACTAATGATAGCGAGAAAAGTAACACCACAGTAAAAAATACAGAAATCATCGGTACTTTCCCTTCCATTCGACATCGTATGGCGACAACCAGCTCGTGCAGTTTTGCATATTGTACTTGATCACGGTGTCCCAATTGAAAGTATTCTAAACCAAATATAAAATAACTACAAAGGTTGCCTCACCCTATTATTCCTCGCTTCCCAATCCTCACGAGCTCGTCGTTGACTCAAAAGATCCTGGCTGACAAACTCCACAGGGAATTTGAATCGTTCACAAAGATACAGAAGGAAGGCTTTTGCCTGTAAAAAAAAATTAGCGATGGGGACGAAGCTCACCTCAATTTCGGTGATGTATCCGCCCACTTCCAAAATCACGCGTTTCGCCTTGACGGGGGTAACATAGTGATGGATTGATCCTTTGCCACCTCCCAAACGCTGACCCTAAAAGCGGAAAAATGTATAAAAGCTCTTTACAACAACTTACAACATCTGCGCCACCCAACGACAAAACATACCTGAGCTTTCTTAGTCCTGGGGAGCCATGGAGGATCGACACGCCATACAGCAAACTGATTGACCAACAAGTTTTTATTCACACGATCCTGAAAATTGTAAGTGCAACAATAGCTTCCAGCATACCTGAATAAAATCAAAATCAGAAGCGGAAATCATCCCTCCGGAAACGGCCGCAAGACCATATTGCTCGTGTGTCAACTCGGTGTGAATCTATAACAGAGATTACACAAACGTCGAATCGCCAGTTAAGGCCGAGACTGAGTGTCAATATATATATGTAAGTCAACATAGGCACCTCCTCAACGCCGCGAGACCACATCATTCGCTTGGCCGTTTTGAATTTCTGCTCGCCCTTTTCCAAGTCGTAGAATGGTTCTTTAGGCATCTTCGGAAGCTTCCTCTGATCATCCGGCGGAAATGTCACATCTAAAAATCTTTGTAAATCAACTCTATAAACGCTTACTTTCATATGTCGCGGGGAAGGGATATCGTCGCATTCCGCGCAATGCAGTGAGCCTTGCAATAGGACGGCCAAGCCGTAGAGTGCAGTCCATTTCCTTTCTATAATTCATAATATATATTATGTACTCTTGTTGGAATGCCGCTGAAGAAAAAGGGCGGAAAACAATGTCAAAATAGTAGCTCGGCAAGGCCCAGACAGAAGTAATTTAGAAATAGCGCTACAGGTATATCATCCAGAATCAAAAATTCCCCAAGAAGTCAAAAAGAAACAAGGAATTAGAAAATGTGTAAAATCAAAACTTTAATTTTTCATTACGATCCGAAATAAATTTCTACGTGGGAGGGTGCAGCACCGAGTTCTGTTGTAACGAGTAGTAGCGCGTAGCTTGTCTTGCAAGGCCCTGCCGAGCCTTTTTGACGAAATATTCCTTTTTTTTGATGGATCATTATATCGGGCCCGATGGAAAACCTTGCCGCGCATGTGTCTCTGTTGAAGATCTGATGAAAAAAGGACGCGAGTTGGCACAGAAGCGGAAAGACAAGGAATCTTCATCGAATGATGCAAGCAAGCCTGGGACTTCAACAGCGGAGCTGCCGACGAAGAACGATTGTCCCGCTGACAAGGATGAATTAGGGAGAAGCACATGGACACTCCTGCATACGATGTCCGTTTATTATCCAGAATCGGCTAAGGAAAGCGACAAGAAGAATGCGACAACCTTCCTTAGCAATCTGAGTCGACTTTACCCTTGCGACTACTGTGCCAAGGATTTACAAAAGGACCTCGCCGAGTCCCCGCCGAAGCTCAACACTCGTCAAGAATTCGCGACATGGATGTGTGAGCTGCACAATAAGGTCAACGACAAATTGGGAAAACCAAAATTTGATTGTACCAAAGTTTTTGAACGGTGGCGTGACGGCTGGAAAGATGGTTCTTGTGATTATTAATAGTGTCTTGATCTTGATGCTCTAGGTTTTTCGATACTGTCAAGTATGCTCGTCTTCTTTTTGTGTATCATTTTGTTCTGGTAGTGAAATTGAACTAAATTTAGGTGTTTTATGCGAAAAGCCCTCGGGTGCGCGCATACGCCGCTGCTGATCACCACGCGGCACAAGCAAGCATGGGTTCATAAATGGCCTCGGTTTAAGCGGTGAGTTTCCTCCCTATTGCCCCTGTATTGCGTTTTTTAGATGGCAAGAATTGGAGAAGGAAATGAAAGACGATTACGAACAAAAGCAACGTATGAAGGGCTTCATCCGCTTTCCGACTGGAATGTATCTAACACCGGAGCGTCCTGAGGATGGTTAGGCAGCTTTGTAATAACATATGTTCTTTAGTTGCTCCCAAAAAAGATTTGGCGGACATGACGCGAAAGGAAACCGGAGCGTTCCCCATTGATCTCCACACGAACCACACACAGATGCGGTATTTGGACCACTCTGTTGACAACGTCCGTCGCTTCAAGCGCTATACTCATTTTCAAGGATTACAATATGATCAAAGGTTAGATCATCGTACTCCTAACTTTTTTTATAGGATGATTCCCGAGCGCCTCCTTTTTCTCGGTGCTGATCTGGCGGCTGCTCACTTTTTGGTGCATCGCGGTGCAGCTGTCAAATTTCTCGGCGATGATCTCTGGTACAAAAGAAATAAGAAGGTATGAAGCCTTTCACTGATCAAACTGTCCTTTCTAGGGTTACAGCCTGCCTGGCAGAAAAGTTCCTGGCTTGTACATCGAAGCTATCGATGCATCTGGGACAGAGCTTATGTTTGAAGGTATCGCCTAGGTCAATACTATAGTATTTCATGTTTTAGGGTTTGAAAACTTGCACGATCTCAAACATTTGCGCATGTTGCGCTTGGCTAACTGCGAATACGTTGATGATTGGGTCATGAGCAAAATTGCAGGTTTGATTTGAGGCATGCTGAATTATTATTTTAGGCTGTATGCCAGAGTTGGAAATGCTGGACCTTTCCGGTTGTGACCGGATTAGTGCAAAAGGTGATTCCTGCAAGCAATACTTAATACAGTTCTCAGGGCTAATGGGTTTGAAAAACCTGAAGATGTTAAAATATCTACGGCTGGAAGGATTGGACGCAGTAAAGGTTGCCCACTTATATTTAAACTAATTCGTTTGTTTAGGATTTGGGTCAGGCTGCTTTGCTGCTCGAAGAGAGCATCTCGAATCTCAAAGTTTTGGGAGTTGATTATGATGAACAAATGCGACGTTTGGAAGCGGAAACAAGACTTCTGGCTCATCCGCGAGTGGTTCAAGACGCGAAAGGTTCATTTTCGCGACGTTTTTTGTCAAATCTGTCTAGGAAATGCGTTTGCTGAGGATGATAGCGGGCGTCTGTTTTATATTTCTGGTGCCGTCAACGAGCGATCTGCAGTTGATGATGAGGACAGGCCAATCATGACTTCCACTATCAGACGGTATTTTTCCACAAACTACGATAATTCATATTCACAGTGAAATTCCGGAAATGGATGATATGGAATTCGAAAAGCTGGATCGGTTATCTGGCGGGAAATTACGTCATTTTCTGGTCGGCTCCCCTAGCGGGTATTCTTGGACTGAGCAGGTATTGCCTACTTTCTAGTTCTAGTCTTAAATTTTAGACGGAAAAGATTCTTCAACACGAGATGAAGCTCCTGGATAAGAAGGGTGTTCCTGTACATCCAAAGATGCTGCCAGCGGAGAAACGGGACAAGAGCACACCATTGCTGGATGATGAATGGCAGAGCATACTTGAGCAAGAAAAACTGAATTTGGAGAAACAGGTAATATTGGCTTATAGGAGCGTTAATCTTTTTTTTCAGTCGTTCGAGCCGATGGGTGAAGATCGACATTTAGCGGCCGGCAAGCGCGAAAACTCCGATCTGTGATCTAGTCAGAATAGTAGCTTTAGTTCGTTTCTTGTTTTGTTTGTGCATATTCTTGCTTATAAAGATCTGAATGTACACGTAATATTATTTCACAGCGCTGGTGCCCTTTAGGATCTCGGGGGAATAAGCTTTTTAGATAGGCAGAAAATAATTTATTTACGATAGCCTGGGCGCGCCAAACGCGCTACACGTAGAGGCTTTGATCTTTCGTTAGTCCTCATATTCGACAGCATCCGCCGGCACATTGGTTGTAGCCCTAAGTAATCGCTCGTGCGTTCTTGTCCGGCCCTCACCTGGAAGCAGCCACAAGGAGACGATGGACAAGGATAGGATGCTCGCGAACAAGTTTGCACGCACGTCTCGTGGC